AAGGTCATACGTTCAAATCTCATCTACCCCCACTTTCAAGTGTGGGTATGAGGAGGCTCATGCTGCATCCACATTTCAAGCACATGGGCTCTCATGTGAGGGGGCGTGATAGAATATATAAATCGATAATGGGCTTCAACCATCAGTTTAAGTTTTTGGTTAAGTTGGTCCTCTAACATTGAGGGAAGGATTTTAAACTAACACTTTGTTGGTTTGAGTGTACGAAAATGGGTTAAATGGTTGATAACTTGATACAGATTGCAAAGAGTACGAAAATGAAACCATTATTGAGTAGTTTCTAATTTTGACTTTGTTTAATTGTGTTGGGCTGATTGGCTATAAAGTACAAACTACTTCTTTAGTCTCTTGGGCCAGTCCAATAAATTTAAGACTAATTAAATCTGTTTTTTTTTATGGTGTTCCACCCGGTTCACCGGGTTAATCCGGATTCGGTGCTCAGTTCTGGGTGGTTAGGTTTTAATTCCTTCCGAATTGTTGTTGCAGGAAATCGAACACGTGGTCTTCCCTATCAATACCAAGTACAGCCCCACTCACTACTGTACCAACAATTAATTGATATTAAATATGTTAATGAACATATATACAAACTAATAAACTATAGTACCTCTTGAGGTCATACCCTAAATGATTATCCAGCTTGAAATCACAATCGTAACCGAGTTATTAAACGACGTTATTTATCGGTTCATAAACAAAAACTTTTTAATTTGTTAATTTTTCTAGTTCAATTTATACTGTTTAGTCACGTTTTTTGGTTTAGTTTTTATGAATACTGCTAAATGTCAATATATTCGTCCATATTGACACTTTGACGGGCAAGTTTAGCAATTTAGGAGATAAGTTTTTGTCCTTGTAATCTAATCTCATTTGCTACTTCAATTCATTTATAAAGGCAAATGCTCACGAGCTTAGACGCGTGGGAGGAATTTAACAAGAAGGATCGATATTTGTTTAACTAATCTCAATAACACCTAGTGGCACAATTTTAGTACTCCTTTCGTCCCATAATATAGTTATTGTTTGTGTTTTTTTACGGTATTTAAGAAATAGGAGGAAAAAGTGGATGAAGAGGAAAGTGGAAAAAAGTACAAGGCATGTGCAAAATTCAAGAGTAATTTAGGAGGTACAATAAACAAAGTTAAAAAAAGTGAGGGTATAATAGTCTTTACATACTATCCAAAAATAGAAACAGGAACAACATTTTAGATCTTTAAAATAGAAAAACAGGAGCTATATTATGGGACGGAGGGAGTATTATTTTGTTCTTTCAAGTAATACCCAAAAACATATTTTCCATCTATATTGCTCTTCAAAGTTTTGTTGAAAAATTAAAAGTGATATATTTCCTTCAATAATGTCCAACACCTCCACTAAACTCCACCAAGTTATTGCCAAAAATAACGCATGAAAACACCAAATTTCACATGTGAGCAATTTCACCTTATCATATCGAACCTTCTCATCATTCTTTCTTCGATTGTGTAATTTTCAAGTCTTTTTCTTCCCTTTCTTTAGGGTGATGTTTTAAATTCATTCGATAACTCGATATATGATAGTTGTGGTAGTGTGCCGATGAAGAGGCTTTGATAGCACTGATTACTAATATTACTTCATGGAATGATGGAAACTTAGGATGATAGTAAGTTAAGTAATGAAATCTATCATTATGAATTGACAGCTTCAAAGCTATACACAATCGGAATAAAGTAGGAATCTGCCAACAATTGTTAAACGTGATATGTTATTATTAATATATTGTGATTTTTCAAGCTAAGGGTTTATATTTAATTTACAAGTGTTACTTAAATTGACTTATATCGTAGTAGTGATACAGAGTATTAACTACCAAGTATTTATCCGAATTCCTTGCTAAGCTAGTTCTACTTCTACATGGAAAACTTGGATAAGTCGATGGTTTCCATTTGCATGCTGCAAAGGCTCAAAGCTATGATGAGCATCTTGGCTTTAGATGAAAAATATATGACCACTATGTGTTGATAAAGTTAATTTTAATTTTATGTTTACTCTATCAACAAAATTGAATGTGTTATTCAAAATATATGACCACTATGTTGATAAAGTTTTAAACTACATTCCTATCCGCGGGGTCAGGGTTAAGAACATATGAACAATCATAATGGTCTCTTGTAAAATGATAAATGTATTTTATTAGGTAAAACTAAGACATGATTTTTAATTTATTGAATTGAACTTATTTTCTTAATTAAAATTATTTTTGCAAATATAAACTGGAATTTCTTTTCAATTTGTCTCTATTATATTTTTTCTTTAAAGTTACTCGATTTTAAATTATTTTTATTGAACTTAAATTATATTTACTGAATTGAAATTATTCTATTAAACTGATTTTTTTTTACTAGATATTAATTTTAAAACGAAGAGAATAGGGCCCAAGAAAGTTATTAATATAGTACATGAAACTATTCAATAAGGCCTTGTTCACTTCACCTTAAAAAAAATAGTATTCAATAAAAATAATTTCAATTCAGCATGCAATAATAATTTCAGTTCAGTAAACATAATTTCAGATCAGCAAAAATAAGTTCAGTTCAGTAACAATAATTTCAATTCACTAAAAATCACTAACTTTAAAGAAGAAATATAATAGAGAATCAGTAAAAATAATTTCAATTCAGCAAAAATAAGTTCAGTTCAATAAAATTAATTTCACTTCAGTAAAAATAATTTTAGTTTAGTAAATCAAATTCAATCTCATAGAATTATCTTTCTGTTAAATACTTCGTATTCATGAAGAAGGTAGACATTATTATGATTCTAATTGGACCATAAAAAGGAAAAGGATCGAATAATTATAATGTATAGACATCGTATGCAATTCTTTTTGGCCTACTCCTTTTACATTTTGCTTAATTATTCTAAGATTTTTATGATATATTTGTGAAATCTCGGACCAAGTCCAAGAAAATACTTAAATAATTACAAGTAGATTGCAGTATTCCCAAGCTTTGTCTTGGTTGTACCAAGATACAGACGACGTAAGAGGAAAGAAGTAGTCTTACTTTAATTTGATCTTTTTTTTTTTTTTTTTTTTATTGAAGTGGTCTAACTTTGCTACCAGCTCGTGGGTTTTGCTTAATTAAAGTCATTTGTTTATTAAAAAAAAAATCATATGTTTTCATAGATATATATTACAATTATAATTTTTCTTGGATCGAAGAATAAATAACAAATTCATTCGTTAAAGTAGGAAAATATTTAATACTTTTCTATGGTTTATGACATGATTACTTTTGATTGAAGAATGGAAGTGTGAAGCATGGATGAAGTTGTTTATTGAAGTTTTTGTGCTTTGTTTGAATGCTATTGTTTCAAAATGACTGATTTTGCATTGTTTATGTGCACCAACTTTTCCCTATCAAATACTGAGTATTATGTGTAAAAGTAGTATTTCTTTTTTCGTAATTTATTGATTGTTTTGGTATAAGAATAAGTACTTCTTTAAATAAATTGGTACCAAAAAAAAAAAACAAAAAAAAAAAAAGCATTATTATTAAGAATAATTCACTAGTTGTGTTTTTTTTTTTTTGGTAGGTACACTACAAGTTCGTTATCTTGTACACCAACGCAAGTAATTAAGAGATATGTAATAAGATGTACGAAGTATGTCTTTTTTCATAAAAATTATTACATGAGGTTTGATCTCGTTATTTAGACATGTGCAATATATATACTCTAAACAACTTTAAAAAAACCCTTTCTCAGCCTTATATGTTACATATTGCTGTGAAGATGGCTACGGATAGGGGTATGTTTTTGAAGTATGTATGAGTTTTAGGCTAAGGCTCCTAGCTATCTTAAGTTAAAAAAAAAAAAAAAAAAAAATATGAATTTTGGCCAAAATTCCTTAAATTATTGAACTAACTCATCTCAGCATCCTAATCACCTTGATGGTGAAATTTTTGAGAAACCACATTCTCTAATAATTTAAGTCTTCAATGACATTAATAATACTCATTGGTATAAAGTATATTAAATTTCCTCCAAAAAAAAAAAAAAAAAAAGAAGGAAAAAGGCATCGTTTAAATATCAACAAAAAATTGTGTTGATACAAACACAACTTAGATTTCAAGTAAGAAGTACTTGCCTAGCTATTAGAGTGATATCGTCTAAGCACAATTTAATATCAATGGATATTAAGAGATTCAAGTTATTATATTAGCTGATGAGAATTTCTCGAAATATCTAATGTTAAATGATGAAAACATTTAATTTACTGCTTATATCAGTCGTATATATACTTGTATGTAGAGGTGGCCATTGAGGTGGATTGATTTAGCCTACCCCATTGGCCCTATTCACTTTACCTTATTTTTGGTGAATTTAATTTATTTTTATTGAACTGAAATTATTTTTACTGATTTTCTATTATATTTCTTCTTTAAAGGTACCGATTTTTACTGAATTAAAATTATTTTTACTGATTTTCTATTATATTTCTTCTTTAAAGGTACTAATTTTTATTGAATTAAAATTATTTTTGCTGAACTTAACTTAACTTATTTTTACTGAACTGAACTTATTTTACCGAATTGAAATTATTTTTACTTAATATTTTTTTTAAGGTGAAGTTAACAGGGCTGTGTACTAGCTAACAGAGCTTGAAGCAACTCTGACTTGGAAGCAATCAATTTGATCCACCTAATTGGCTAATTGGGTGGAGTTATAAGTTGAACTTGCTATTCGCCAACTTGGTTCAAATTGGCTTATATTGATACCGGCTTAAGAGCTTTTATTGATTTATTTATTTTAAAAAAGTAGTCTTAATCGATCCAAATTAAGTCAGAATCCGACACTATTTCACCTTATGTTAGAAACTAACCTAATATATGCAATAGCCACCATCCTTAGTTGCCCAAAAGTCATATAAAAAACAATAAAATAACACATAAATTGTGACATTGGCTTAAAAAAATCATTTGCCCTACTAGTAAAACTTAAAACATATTTATGTTTTGGCCGAATCTCATTAAAATCATAGATTTCGTATCCTATTAATAATTATAATTAGCCCTCATTTCAAAAGTGCTAATGATGTCATCAAATAGCTCCCCCCACCCAAAAATTCAAGCTTTCTCAAATCTCAACGTTTGAAATTCTTGTCCTAATAAAAATTAAATAAAAAAATTATCATAATTTATCAAAAAAAAAAAGTAGTGAGCTCAAGGCTCCTCTAACAAGGGTGGTTGTCAAGAAAGATAGAAGCTGAATCTCCGTCGTGTACTCCTCACCTCTCTTTCTCTCTCCTCTCAATTCCCCGCATACTTCGCAGATTATCCTCTTCTTCTTATTATTACCCCCATTTTGCTCTTTTTCCTCTCAATTTTCTAGACACACAAGGAAAAAAAATCAATAAAAATCCCACCTTTTTTCCTTGTTTAGTTCTACTATCATCTTTTTTTATTACCCTTAATTCCCCATTTTGTTGGGATTATTTTGAATAAATTCCTTTTTTTTTTGTTGTTGATATTTATTGCTGATTTTGTTTGTCTTTATTTGTTTTGTTGTTGTTAGAAGGCTTTCATTTCATTCAATCATTTGAAATTGTGGATAAAAAGGAAAGAATTGTACAGTAAATTTAGTTTTTGGGGTCAATATATCTGTTATTAGATTCAATTTTTGCCCATTTTTGTGTGTGATTAGATCTTCTAGGACCATTCTTCTTCAATTTTGATTTTTTTTATCAAGTTTTAGTGGACCCAATTTAGGGGTTTTTTTTATCTGGGTATTGGAAATTCAAGCAATTTAGCTCAAATTTTGAACCCTTTTGATCAAATCTAAACATTTGGGTCCTTGAATTTGAACATCTTTGATCAATTCAAAAAATCTCAGAAAGAAAAAAAAAAATGTATGCAACAGAAAGCAAAAGAAATATGTCATTTGAGTACCAGGCACAAATAATCAATTATAGGCCTAGTCTTCATACAAGGAGGGCAAATTTGACAGTAAAATTTCAAGATATTTATGGGTTTTCAGTTGAAGGGAATGTTGATGATGTGAATGTGTTGAATGAGGTGAGAGAAAAAGTGAGGGAACAAGGAAGGGTTTGGTGGGCATTGGAAGCTAGCAAAGGTGCTAATTGGTACCTTCATACTCAAGTCTCATCAACCCTAAAAGCATCCCTTAAATTATCAGCTTTAGCTAATGCAATCACATTGAAAAGGTTGATTAGGAAAGGGATTCCACCAGTTTTGAGGCCTAAGATCTGGTTTGCATTATCTGGTGCTGCTAAGAAGAAATCGACCGTGCCTGAGAGTTATTATGATGATCTTATTAAGGCGACCGAGGGCAAGGCCACGGCCGCTACCAAACAGATTGATCATGTGAGTTGAATTGGTTCTTTTTGGGCTGTGTTGATCAGTCTTGCAGTTGGATTGTTTCTTGCTAGTATTTATTTGCGGGGTGGATTTATTTGGTGTACATTGTAATAAAAATGGGTTGTTTTCTGTTGACTTTGATTTTGATTTGGATGTTAATCTGTGTGTTTAACTTTTTTAAGCATTATGCATTGTTCATAGCTGATTCTTTTTTTAATTTACGATTGACGTCAAATTAATGGACTAGTTGCTGGATGAGAACATGTGATTTTCTTTGTATGGTATAATAGGTTAACTATAGGATTTGCCTTATCGAGGTTTCTGTGTTTTCCACTTTGTCAAAGAAGACATGGACTAATCCATCTCCTTTCTGTTATGTGTGTACTTCATAGTAATTGATGCCATGATACATAACATACATTTGGTAAGATTAGTGTGATGATGTATCTTCACCCTATTTATGTGCGATGAGCCATGGATGGGGTGATGGCATTCCAATGTAATAGCAGGTTTGGCATTCCAAATGCATGTTATTAGTTCACAATGTGGTGAGGCATTCCTGTCATAGTTGGTGGTCATGAGGTTTTATATGAGTTCTAGCGTGGTGAAGCCATAGATAGAATTTGATAGTCATGTTTATGGCATCACTCTATCACTTTAGTAATTTGCCTACAGGTCTCAAATTTGGAGCTCAGTGGATTTTTGTTGACATCGTTTTACTATAGTTGCAGTCTCGCGGTTCTGTCAGAGCAATTCAACTGATATAGAAGTGAAAGACAAGGGAACGGTTATCCTTGTGAACCCTTTTAATCCTCCAAATGCGTGCAAATCATGTACTAGTAGTTTTAGAGAAAATTAGTAACATCATTTTACAATTGTGATTTCAAACATATATGTTGTTCACTCCCTCGAATAAGGGACAATATGAACTTAAAGTGCAGAGCCAAATAGTGTGGCTAGTAACTGGGTTGACAGCATTCCTGTATGCACACATTACAAATTCATTGCATAACGGCGAATGAACAAGTAAAGCAATTAAGCTTTTTATATTTAGTATCTCCTTGGCCATATATATGTCCATCGTCCATGACATGAAAATGGGAAATGTGGCTCATTGTTGTGACTGGCATAAATGCATATTGATTTGAATATAAGTAGGAATATGTGTAAATACTTTTGCAGAATTCATGAAGTCTCCAATATTTGCAGGACTTGCCTCGGACTTTTCCTGGCCACCCTTGGTTGGATACACCTGAGGGCCATGCAGCACTCCGACATGTTCTTGTTGGGTACTCTTTTCGTGATTCTTATGTTGGTTACTGTCAGGTGATTCTATTATCTCGTTTAATGTAGCAAAATATGGGAATTGACATTATTAGTGCTGGTACACTTCATGTTTCCCTCATTTTTGTATCATTCAATGATTCTTCAATTGAAGCATTTAGGCTGATTTTAATATTGTTTGTATGATTGTATCAATCGTCATGATTCTTCAATTGAAGCATTTAGGCTGGTTTTAATATTGTTTGTATTATTGTATTAATTGTCATAAACATACAACATTCATTTCTACTCCCTCCACCCCTTTATATGACAGAAAGGTGTCTTGTACATGTAGAACTGTACTCCTGCTCCACATATTAACCAAGCACATTTGGTGTTTCAGGGTTTGAACTATGTTGCAGCATTATTATTACTCGTTATGAAAACAGAGGAAGATGCCTTTTGGATGCTAGCTGTCCTATTGGAAAATGTGTTAGTCAGTGACTGTTACTCAAATAACTTATCTGGGTGCCATGTTGAGCAAAGAGTATTTCAGGATTTACTCACTCAAAAGTATCCGAGGTACTATTGTATTTCCATTAGAAATTGATTGTCCTATGATATCAACTGTTTTGATTGTATTCATAAAAAAATTTGAAACAAAAAATTGCAGGATAGCTACTCATTTGGAAGCCTTAGAATTTGATGTCTCCCTTGTTGCCACTGAATGGTTCTTGTGCCTCTTTTCAAAAAGCTTACCTTCAGAGGTTTGATCAAAGAATTTTATCTTGTCTATCTGTTTGTCAATATTTAAAGTTTGTTCCTTCTCATAACTGCTACCGTTCTGGAGTCCATTCCACAGACAACTATGCGGGTGTGGGATGTTCTATTTTACGAGGGAGCTAAAGTTTTGTTCCACGTAGCTTTGGCTATATTTAAGGTGAGTCTTTTCTCATCCTCTGTGCTATTAATATCTTAGTCTTCCAATTTTTTGTTTGGAGGTCAAATCTTTATAAATTAGACATGGTTAGAGTGAGTTTGTGACGATATGATGAACAGATTCTTATACAGTATACTATTTACTTGCAGATGAAAGAGGATGAGTTGCTTCTGAGCCATCATGTTGGTGATGTAATAAGCATATTGCATAAAACTACTCACCACATGTTTGACCCTGATGATTTATTGACGGTAAGCTGAAGTTCATACTGAATTTTCTTTTTGGAGCTGGCCATATCAGTTTTTAGCTTAGAATACTATGCTACTTAGATTCTTCATTTTACCTCAACCTGTGTTGAATATTCAACACTCCGACATATGCATGGTCACTCTCATTTGGGACCAAAAGATAACAGGGAAATCTTACATAAAATATGAGTGACACTTTCTTGACTCGAGTACAAGAGTCCAAGCAAATTAGTAACTTGTTCATCCTGGAGTGAGTTGTCAATTAATCTGCAATCATCTTCCTTCAAAATCTTGATCCTGATTACTGGCTACTTTGTGCAGGTGGCTTTTGATAAAATTGGCTCTATGACCAACACAATATCAAAGCAAAGGAAAAAGCAGGAACCTGCTGTCATGAAAGAACTTGATCAGAGATTTAGACGGCTGAATTCCCTTAACGATGCAAGTTAACTATCCAATTGGCCTGTAGACCTTAAGTGTAATTGTACATGCCCCAGGCATAACTGCAAGTGCAACTATGACCGGAGGCATTTTGGCGCTTGTAATATACAGAGTACATTTTCTGCAGAATTGTAGTTACATATTTTGTAAATTAACAGAATGTAACAAAAAAACTAATTACATCCCTAAAGAGGGCTGCTTCTAATATATGCCCTTTATTGGCTTGTTCATATCTCACTAAGAGCAGCAAAGACAAATTGGGAAACAAGATTGAAATAATTTTTGTTCAACCACTTCAAATCCAGAACTCTAGTTTGTCGAATGATCATTAAATAAAAGGAAATCGTGTGCATTCACGTAGCGAGTAACCAATATGCTTGATATACTTAAAGACAACTTAAGCTTTACAAAACTGCAGTGGCCATACATAATGAATACTGATAGCAAGATAGGGCTATATGCACCGGGTAAAAGTGTATAGTTAGCAGAGTTGACAAGACTTCACAGCTTATATAGTAGTTCGACAGATATGACATATTTCGCCAACTTTTTTACAAGGATCTAAGGAATTTACAAATCAACGAGTCAAGAGATAAAGTAACTTGGAGAATTGGTGGGAGAGATATCCATGTCCTTCAGATCGTCAACAGGAGTAATGCACACATTGGCTTCCGGCAGTCCTGCCACATTTGTTATCATTGGGTTATGATTATGTTCCGGAACATCATCTAAAATGCGGGGAAGATCACCATACATATTCATCAGATGGGAGAAATCACCGTAACAATCTTGCTGCTCTTCGAGTATATAGTTCCAAGTAGGTGGGCGAGAACATGGTATTTGACCAGAAATCTGAGAGTGGCCGCACCTGTAGGCAATTTCCCTGTGCTTTCTAGTCCAGTCAGGATGGCTCCAGAGATAAAGGGGAGGAGTAACATTGTTCCATTGTGATAGTTGCTTTTCACGAGCATCACAAGATCCAGGAAGGTAGAATGCCTGACAGCAAACAAATCAATTGCATACCCCATACCTCAAAAGTCAGATCTAATAATGAAATAAGGATAGAAATTAGACTACGTCATTTCACATACCTCGCCAGAGAGTAGATATGAATCCTCCCATATCAAATCATACCTTGTGTGCGTCGGGCCTTTCCCAGAATCAAGCCTACAATGACAATTTACTTTGATAGGGGAAAAAATGGGGTAAAGAAGAGATTCAGTAACAAGAAAATGCATGCCCATACCTCCGAGTTTCTGGTGGGGCAATAAAAATGAGAAGCTTTGGGTTAAATTGAAGAGCTTTATCGATGAACTGGTTAGCCAGTGATGCCTTAACTCCGAAAGGAGGATTCAGCCCCATTATCTAGCCAACAGAAAAAGAATAAAGGCACAAGTTCAATGAACAATGAAGAAGTAAATGATATCAAGTCTGAGCCAGGCGTTTCACCAGTCGAGAGCCTTCTGCCAGTTCTCCAGATTGAACACTAAACCAATCCCTTCGCTCAAAATTGAAATCATTCTGCAGTACGTTGAATAACAATAAGTCAACACTCAACAGTATCCCATATTACAATTTTAATCATGCATAGTAGTGACAGAAAAGTAAACAGTTGCCCCTATGACCTCTGGATCAAGAACAGAGTGAGTAAATCTGATGTGCATTCTGTTTCCTAAACCAGGTAACCTAGTAGAACAAAGAAAACAAAGAAACAGCTGATCTCATTCTTAATTATCACCTAACACAATATATACAAGACCCAGCCAATGATATTCTCATTCTTACCAGATTTTCCAGCTTACAAACGAAGCCCATGATTAATTAAACCTTAAGAGATAAGCCACGGTTAAAAAATTTCAACAACCCATATAACACAGCATAGTCCAACCTTCCTAATAATGGCTTTACCACTGGAATTTAATCAACACCATAGAATTCTGGTCTTTTAAATGAGTGAATCCAAATCCTAGGGAGAGGGGAATCGAAACAGCTCTCATTATCTTATCAGTAGCCATACTATCCAACCACTCAAAGGTCTGATATTGTAATGCCGTGGTGGGGATCAATAGCATCAACATTACAATCCACTTTCAATTTTCCTTTATTTCACTTCTTAGTCACATTTCTCTTTCAATTTCATTAATTCTATGATAAATTACAATTACTTAAGGCTTTTGGAGCTAGGCACATTCCAAGCAACAATTTAAGCCATTTATACAAGCAGGCTAGCAGCATGCTAGCATCTACTAAACAATTAAACATATAGAGGCTTCTACACTGGATACAAAATGCTGATTTTATTATTCCTCCCAGGCATGCTATAAATAGTAAATGGGGGGTGATAGGAGTCATAGGACGGCTGACATGTTTAATCTAGTATTATGAGCAGCTGTACTATTACCAAATGTGCAAATTATGTGAGAGAGTGGTGGTTTGTGGACTTTCTATGATTTCATATTATGTACCAGAAAAGCAGTGTCTTGGTAACTATGTCTAGCTAGTCAGGACTGGAACTAATGACAATGGTCAAAGTACCAAAATGCCAACAGTATCAAGATGCCAATTATTAATTTATAAGTAATGGTAATGATTCCCCACCTTTGATGGAAAGAGATCGAAATTTTTGAAATAGCACTTCTTCCCAACATCATCCAGCTTCTTTTTCATCAAACAGCTGAATTCATTAGCACCACAGCAGAAGTCCACTATCTACAACACCATAGGCAATTCAAATTACATCAGCAACTCTGTGATGATACCAATAATCATTTTAGGGGCAACCATATGAATAGCTAGACTGCTATAATGTTGCCTCAACTAGCTTTGCTTTGACTTTTAACCCTCTTTGCAATATTGACACCGCATACATACACGAGAGGTGCTGCTACATTTTTTTTGTAGATTTTTTCAATGCTTGGAACTTGAGTATGAAATAAAGAAGGTTAGATTGAGGAAAGTATTCTCACCATATCACCGTCTTGGACATACCAATGTAGCCTTTCAACAATCTGGAAAAGTAATAAAAAAAAAAAAATTGATTATGTGTGAGGGATTTTTTTAATTTTTGGTAGAGGGAGGAGGAGGAGGAGGAGAGGGGTGGGGATGCTTTTATGTGATTTACAATACCATTAACGACCACATGGAAACTGCAAGGGAGCAAAATATGTGCTAATCAGAAATCAGGCATCAATGATGACTTTTGTAGGTTCCAGCAGTAAAAGATCAAGGGGAGCCCTGCATGGATTTCTCCCCAATTTCAATTGAGCACAACAGATAGTGCATAAACTTAATACTCCAAACCTCATGTTTTATTCCAAATACGTTAACCACTCCCCAACACACAGATTGCCATCATCATCATAAAAGACTAATTGCTTCCACCTACCTACATGCTCATGAATATGCAGCTATATGGGTAGTATAAACAAGGAATCACTCAAACAAGGACAGGAAAACAGTAAGCCCTCAACATGTACTTTGCAGAGAAAACATAGGTCTTAAGTTATATAAGGGTTCAAGGATCTTAAGGAAACCATCTGTCACAACAATGCTATAACAGCCACGTTGCATTATATACATCTGAAGACTGAAGCCACCAAAGTCTAACATTAAAACAGCCTTCACAAAAGGCACTTTACAACAGTATGGTGTGATCTGGAAAGAAAATTAATTCAAATATCATCATGGCTAGCCAATTAAAGCAGTTGTAATATATTTGTACACGGGTGTACATCACAGCCACGATGTCACATCAACAGCTAAAGTTAGTGCAGTGTATGAAGTTAATGTTTGTTAAGTCCAATGACAGCATATAAACCACTGCAGCCAGAATAAATTATACACAAAAGGTGAACCAAGATACAAACAACTGATATAAAAAAATCAAAGAATTTTTTTAGAATGGCAAGAGAGGAAACTATATGAGCTATTTTCTCACAAAAAACCTGCTGAGGTTAAGCAAATGGTTTCAGAAGCAATTTTAGTGTAAAAAGAAATTTAAAATAAAACAATAAAAAAATAAAAGAAAAGAGAGAGAATAAAGAAATTCATGAGATATATTCGAACAGCACAAAGGTGAAGCTGCTCAAACACAAACTCTATTTAACCTCATGCCACTCACTATACTTCTATGTTGTCCATTGCCGAAAGTAGAGAACAATCAATCAATCAAAGCCTTAATCCCATAAGTGGGGTCGGCTAACATGAACCAAATTTGATTTTTCCGTGTAGTCATCGAGATAAATCTTCCTCCTCCATCCCTTACGATCCAATGCTTCATCCTCAAGCAAATCCATACACTTCATATCCTTCCTAACTCCTTCCAACCAAGTCATTTTCGGTCTCCCTCTCCCTCGTTTAACCCCTCCACACTCTTCCACTCTTCGCACCGGTGCACCTTTGGGTCTCTGTCTTACATGCCCAAACCAACGCAGGCGATTTTCCCTCAGTTTATTTGCAATGTCTGCCACACCTACTTTCTTGCGAATAACCTCATTTTTTATTCTATCTCTTATAGTGTTCCCACACATCCACCTCTTAAAACAATGTGTAATAAAATTGTTAAATGTTGCCAAATTGTTAAAATCCCACCTCCTTTAGATATTTCAAATGCTTTCCTAGACTATTATATAATTTTCCTAGGCCTTAAATTACATTATTATAATTATATCAATCCATTGTTCAACAGGAAAGCAATGTAAATCCAAAAAGTTCTATAGGTAACAGTGGAATAAGCTTCCTACTCAAAGTAGTGTTGCTTAATTATTGGTGTTGCATTGTAGACCTTTATAAATTATGTATCGCCAGACTCGTCAGTTGTTTAAAGCAAACACCCCCACATTTCCAAAGAGTCCTAAAATAAATAAATTTTTGTTGTCGGACCTACTTGTGCCTTCCTTGACATGCTCGCCTTCACGACCCTCATCTCCGCTCTTGTCACCAATGAAAATTAACTCAACACTTGCTTGCATTACCATGTGTTCGCAAAATCCCTTTCAGCACTAGTTTACGCCCTTGTCGCCAAATGTACATGAGCACGCCTCAGATCCGGAGTCAAAGACTCAAAACACACTAAGACCATGTGACCACATGCAAGAACACTTGAGACCCAGAGGCAACCTCTTTTTAGCAGCTACCATCAGACACCACCGTCCTCACAAACAGACACACACACGCACACAAATTATTTCCATGATTTTAGAAAATCAAAAACATACAAACCATAAGTTTCTACCTCAAAATTGTTCATTAATAAGTTTAACATTTCAACGTAACATTGTAGCTGATGTGGATCTAAGTGATACAACAAGGCAACGACTTTAATTGTCAAGCTGAGCTTCAGCAACTGAAAATATTTATAGACATCCACCCTTCAACTGGGCGTGGCAGCAAGTATTTATAAACAAAAATAAAATAAAAATTAAAAAACATGCAATCCCTATGAGCTCAAAAGACTAAGAAACCTAAGGAGTTAAAGCTCACAAGCGCAAGCCCACATGCCAACTACAGATTAAAAAGGCTAACTAAGAGAAAGGCCAAAATGTACAACCCATAATTTAAGATATATGATAAAACCATGTTAGCTAATAAATCAAAAGAAAACAATAACGATAGATGAAAGCTCACAATTGCAAGCCCACATGCCTCTCTAAGCCTTGATCCATGGAACACATGAAATGAAAGCTAACTTCCCGAGAGATTACAATCCAAAGCCCAATGTATTTAAGATCTCAATTGGCTCATTAGAAGGAACTTGATTATAAATTGTGCTGATAAACCCTTCCACTTATAGGAACTCTTGGACCTTCTTGGTTCTCATCAGTAGCAAGCTTTTTAAAAAATTCTACCAGTAGTAACAAAAACACAAGTTCTACAAGAAAACAATCGAAGCAATACTATAATCTTTTCATTTTAAAGGTAAAAACACAATCAAGGCCCTATAAACTGTTTCCAGACTTTCCACAGTTTCCCATAATCATCAAAGTCATAGTAGTCATATATTCTAATTTGGTCAATGTGCTTCCAGAATAATGCACTACCGCAGGAAAGCATATTTATAACACATCTTGTACAAGTTCATTAAGTAATTAATGTAACAGTTATAATAAAAAATTCTCATAAAATTCATACACAAAATTTATAACATTCCCTTATAAATTTCTCACAAAATAATACACAAAATCAGTATTATTCCTTCAATCATGACATTTGCAGTAAATTAGCAATTAGTTCACCTATATTCAATCGTTTGTGAAAATTAAAGCAGAAGAATCATCATAAAAGAGTTTTCTACACTGGTAATAGAAGAACTTGCCTCTTGAAGCTTATCCGGTTTCGTGAAGTGTCGTCCATAGGATGAATAGGACATGCCATGTATAAAAGGTGCAAGATACACATTAAGCCTTTTCTGCAACCATATAGCCAATATATGTGCTTCAATTAGCATGAAATAGTTTACTTGAAATCAATCCCATTTAGACATTGTTCCCTTCACCTTTACTTATTTCTGTTAAAATCAGACCAGTCTTACAAAATTCAGATCAAACCAAATATTCGTATTTCCATTTGCATATTGTCATATACCTTTAATTACACACTTGCAAAAATTATATAAATTAGATATTTGAAAAATACACATTGAGACGAATCTAACAATATTCCAATTGATAATGTTTTTTCTTATACATTAACATACAACAAAGGTCAACGTTCAGTTAAATCAGACCAAACCAAAACAATTCAGATAACAGCCAGATCAGACTTCAGAAATTTCTGTTCAAAACACAATTTTAGGTGAAGAGAACAAAGCCTTAGTCCCTTAAACCATCATCCTACACTTGCCAAAGGAAATGAAGGTGCATGCAGATTAATAAGTCAGCGAGCAGAATGCCAAGCTAATAATCAGAAGCAAGTTGGTGTAAACCTAGAGCAATATGGCAAGAGATTAAGATGCAAGGGTGATTTTCACAATATCCATCACAATTTCTAACATACTTACACACTATCCATATCAACAAACTATCCTAATCGACCCGTCTATGAGCTTCCATGCCCTTCCGAAAACTACTCCCCATTGCAGATGGAATCTTACAGATGCATAGTTGCAACTTGCAAGTTAGTTGAAGTCATTACCACACTTATTCTAGTATACTAAAATCTGAAACGTACAAAAAAGTGAAATCTAAATCAAATTAAGTTGTTTCAAGCAAAAGAAGGGGATGCTACAAAATTTCATGCAATAGGAAAAGTTTTTAAACATTCATTTTATCATCTTCTTTACAAGGCTATTTCAGAAATATATAAATCACGATAAATGGGTAAGACACGGGCAGCAAGCTGTCATAAAAAGCGTAGCCCATAATTACCTGCATGTGAAAAAATATTTGATATTCACATCCCCACTTTACCCATCAGTTTTTGCCCAAAGTTTCTATATGGTTAGGGTACAAAGCAACAATAATATAAACCCATCCTCAAAGTCAAAACTTCACTCCAAGTTTATATTATTGTTGGTTGTTGTTATTAAAGAGATTTTTCATTTACATTGAATACCTTTGATTCCCAAAATAAACAAAAAGTTATATCAGAGATTCACCGTAACATCTACACATCAAATGTCATTTTGGCCAATAATCCATTAACAAATACTAGTATCCCAGTAACAATATGCACAAAGATGTGTACTGAAAGGAAAGTTCATTAACAGTCCAAACCTTCCATATTGGGAGTTGGCAAAGCAATCCTGCGCTACAGTGGGTCTTTGCATCTTCAATAGTGCCACCATCTTCAAGCTTCTTTAAGGCTGTTCGAATGGCCTGCAACATTTAAAAGGGGAAAAGAAAATTCAAAATGCCAGCAGACATCTTGACAGTTAAAAACGGGAGCAGCAAACACTTTCAAGTTTCAACAGGTTCAGAAAATTTACATTAACCGTGACCTCTACTTTCACCTTCGACAGAGTCTTATCTAAAGGAATTTGAGAGGCCTTGTAATTGGAAGGAACAACCTGCTGCTTTTTGAATTCATCCTCATTAAAAGAAGCATTGACATTTTCCATCAGAGCATTTATTCTACAGTAAAAATGTCGTAAGTTTTTGAAGTACCAAAATTACATAGCAGCGTTAAGAACCAACCCTTCACCTTTTCTCTATTTGAATGTCAACAGGATTTGAGAAGCATTGTTTCTCTAGCAGGGGCTTAGCTGAATGAACGGTATTAAGTTTCCTCCCAAATTTGTTAGCATTGCCAAGCTTCATCACATTTGACTTCAGACTCTTCTCAAACATAAATTTACTTGTATCACGCACTGTTTTGCTTGTAGTTAATGTTGGCAAAAATTTAACTTGACGTCTTGAAGCAGAAGTCAGATTACTGAAGGTTGAATTCTTCTGTGCATCAGAACTAGGTTTGATACTACCTTTTCCGACTTGCCTAGTTGCATCACTCCCTTTAAAACTAGAACAATGAGCCTTATCAGCTTGTTTTACAATCTTCCGTTCAACAGTTTCAATTGGAGAATGGTACGGAATCAGTTTCCTTTTCTTAGGCAGGACATTCACTTTAGGCAAACAATTCTCTGATACACGTTTTCTCTCTTTACCAGGAAATAATATATGGTTCCTCAATGGGGTGCCAAGTGTTGGATCAATGTCATGGTCCCTGTCCAAAGTTTGGAGCAAATCAAAACACATACACGGAAACCACAGTTCAAATCTCAAATTTTGCACTAGAAAAAACAATAAATAACCTACATGCAATATATTAAAATACGTTTTAGCAAAAGACCATCCCAAGCTCTTTGTAGGATTCCATTCTCATCATCATCTTCAAAAGAAATTTCTCTGAAAAAAGCAAAATAAAGTTTAGCAATTATAAATCAAAATTTATACATAAAATAACCATTCACAAAATGAATACCTCGGTAAGCATTTCCTATGATATGATTTAGGACAACGTCTACAAACTGCAAATTGTAGGTCATCAACTTCTCTATCCTCTACGTGCTTACAAACAAAACATTTATGTACAGGACAAGCAAACGACTCTCCTGCAGCTATTTTTTTCTCAAGATCATCATCCTGGGTATCATTTCTCTTTTGTAGTTCTTTAGCAACACAACTAGGATGATAAAACCGGCCACAATTAGCAGCAATACAGGGGACGACCTGAAAGAAGTTGTGTTAGATGAACTAGGCTGTAAAGCTCAAAGTCGTGCCACACAAATAAAGAGAAATTCAGTACTTCAGATGCCCATTTTATTTATACGACAAGGTCATTATTCATTATAACACTAATGCACCCTAACAGGCTAACTTGAGGGCTGCAAGCCAGCAATAACACTACTATCCACCCTGCCTTCACCAAAGTACCAGATAACTTCAGAGCAGAGTGCCAAAAAAATTAGATAAATAGGGTAGTTTATCAAATTTACATGAAAAGGGAAGAGAAAACTATATAAATTTGAGTTGCATACAATTAGTATTTAATCATATATATATGTTTGACTAGTCACTCAATAAATTCTTGATATAGTCTTCAAAAACAAAATCCATGCTGTAAACAATTACAAGGCTGTTTATTTGACTTTACAACGACATTGCTGTATTATACCGAAGAAGGGAAAAGTGAAGTCTAATTAAAATTCCATAAAGGCATACCTCTGGATTACAAAATAAATCAGATGAGCCTAACTTTCCGCAAATAAAACATTGATGTTGCTGATATCGACAGTTTTTGCATTTAAATACAGGAATAGCCTGCAAAAAGAAACCAATTATAAAATATGCAAAATGATATTGCTAGTAGTTAGTCCATATAAGACCTTGAGTAGCAGAAAGTTGCCTACATTAACTTGTGCCATTGACAGGCCAAGGCTTTCACATAATCCCTCTCCAGAATCCTCGGTTGCATGGAAGGATCTCATACATCTCCCTTCACAGCTGTTAAAATTAAAAAAATAAATAATAAAAATAAAAAAATAAAATGAATACAACTGTCTGTTCTTCAGGAATTAAAAGCAAACATATGACTTGAAGGATAAATATGAATAATTACTGACTACCCTAGTAATTTATTTTTCTCATCTTAGATGAGGCAGATTTTTCAGGAAGAAGAGGAAAGCATGACCCTATTTAACTGACAAAGTTGTGATTGATAACACCACAAATTACGTACTTCTTCCGTTTTATATTAGTTGACACGTTTAATTTTGGCACACAAACTAAGGAGAGGTAATACAAAAATACCCCGTTTATTTTACCCACCCCACAACTCCACCTGCCTATCCCCTTCATTTCAACTACCCAATCACCAACTGAAGGACACCAGCCACCAAGCCCACCACCACATCCTCTCTATTTTACCCCTCCCTTCAATTTGCAACCACAAGACCCCACAGTCATTGAACCTTTTTTCTGCAAAGGAAAAGTGAACCCAAGCCACAAATTAAAGTATTCGAACTTCATCTTCCTTAAACTTGTGGTGATGGTGGTGGTGATCGATGAGGATTCCGATGCGTGGAGTTGAAAGAGGATTTGATGATTGGGTTATAGCGATGGAGGTGGCGATACGGTAGTGCGACGCACGGAGGAGAGTGACAGTAGGATCCTTGCTGTCATTATTGGTTTTTCGCCATTTTAGTGTAAAAAGTTTCAATTATTCCTCGACCCCAACTCCTCAACTCCCTCGCCGACCAAAACAACGTTGTTAGAGAAATCGGAGGAACTAAATACTTGTGTGAGTTGGACATAGAAGAAGAGAGGCGGCAACATGACTGGGATGACGGTGGTTGTGAATTTGTTAGGGAGGAGAGAGAAAATAGAGTAGTATTAGCCTTATGATTCAGAGGAAGGAGAGGGAGTGTTAGCATTTGGTAAGGTGAAGAGAGGAGAGAGAATAAAAGCAATGGTATATTTGACATTTTATCACACAAAACATGCCCAAAATAAAAACGTATCCACTAATAATAAACTTCCCAAAGAAAAATATGTGCCAACGGTGTCAACTAATAAAAAACGGAGATAGTAGAAAATAGAGGAGTATGAAACAATTGTTTTTCGGAAAGTGGAAAAAAGCACATCATCATTCCAAAAACAAGTGAGTTTTACTCCACCAAGAGGATGCTTTTGACTTTTGAATATTAAATCTTCCATCTACCTAAACCCCCCCTCCTCACCTTCTTACCATCACTTAATCTCTACTAGTAGGTTCTCGTACAACCTTTTTTTAAAAAGACTTCATTTTATCCGCTAAAATATGAGTTTTGACGAACTTATACAAGTGTATTTCACATCAACGACCTACACTTCCTTCGTTCTTTTTATATTGCACCATAGGGGAGGGCACAATTTTTTATTTTTTATTTTATTATTTTTTATTTTTTATTTTTTGTGTAGTGGGAAAAAGGAAAAAGAGACAGCAACAACAACAACATCAAAGCCGTAGTCCCAAAATGATTTAGGGTCGGCTAACCAATGAATAAAAAAGCTAAAGGCGCACTGAAGCGAGAGGGGTTCTGCTGCGCCTAGGTGCGCCTCGCCTCTTTGAATTGAGGCGCAGTATATGGGCAGTTAAAAATTTTTGGCTCAAGTTTGCTTCAAGTGCACCTCGGATGCTTTTTGTGTGCCTAACCCAAAACGCCTCACCTACACCAAATTAAGTGCTCACCCCTGATCAACTTGCCCTCAGCGCCTTAAGCGCGCTTTTTCAAACAATGCAACTAACATGAATTGTCATAAGGAACCGTACGATATAAATAAAGGGACCTAACAAAATAGTCATTAAAAGAGTATGAAAAAAGATAGGTAAAGTAATCAAACGAAAGAACCTCCAAGAAAAATTAAGAGAGTTTTGAAAGAACCAAGAATAAAATTCAAGAAAGTTTTACGGTAGTAGTTAAAACGTTGGAGTATAAAAAAAATATATATATATATATAAAAAAAAAAAAAAAAAAAAAAAAAAAGGTGAGAGGAAAAAATTACAAATTTGACTACGTGATTGTAAGCACAAACTAAATAAACAAGTCTTAAAAAGTAAGAGTATATCGAGTATTTGCAGTGTGCACAGAGATATTTGTTTTCCCAAAATGGATTGCAATATTTGTAAAGCTTCCTCAAAAGGCAAGTGATGCAATTTACCTGAATGGAGGAAGCATATATCTACAAACATATACACACGTAGCCCCACACACACACACAATTTAAGAAAATATAGAAAAAAAGTGAGTGTGTGAAAGATAAAGTAAGACAAATTAAGAGAGAGAATGTAAAAAAAAATGAGTGGATATAAGAAAAGGCAAAAAGGTGAACAAAATAAGAGAGAGGGTGTAGAAAGGAGTAATTAAGATGGAGTAAAAAAAGTGAAACGGTAAAGGAGTAGGCTTGAGTAAAAAAAAAAGTGAAACGGTAACAGAGGTAGGCCTAAATAAGAATGAAACAAAGTGAGTCGAACAACACAGAAAGGACTAAAACGGAAAGTGAATAAAACCAAAAAGAATGGAGATAGAAAAAGAGGTGAGAGATAGAGAGGAATAAATATTGCAACATGAGGTAGGGATTTTGAAGCTTATCTGAAAGACCCAGGATATTGCAATATTTCCAAAGCAACACTCCAAGATGACCCAAGATATTAGAGGCATCCCAATAAATATATTAATGTGTATATTTAGCCTTAAGTCCTTTTAAGAAGAGGTGAGAGATAGAGAGGAATAAAGGAAAGGACCCATGTAATGATGAGAGAGAAAGAGAGAGAACATGTGCAAATAAGGAATTATTGCAATATTTGTGAAACTTCCTAAAATGGTAATTGTTGCATTATTTGTGGAACAAAGGAAGTATATTCTTTTGATATAAATTCAAAACTTGGACTCTTTCAAAACGTGTCGGCGGATCCTTAAATTTATAAATATTCCGAGTCTGACACCCGTACCTAAGTCTGACCATCCTAGTGGCCTAGCCTAAAGTGGTAAACATCATTATTAGTTGAGGATCAAAATGATAATTTGTCAAAAACAGCATAAAATTAACAAAGTACACTCCAAAAATTGGAGTGAAAGTAGACAAGGCAAAGCAATAGTCAAAATATACGAAGTTATAGTCAGCAGAAAAGATATAAATACCTAAGAATATCCCCACCATTGTCACAAAGGGAGCAACATGTATCAAAGAAGTCATCGTAGTCAATTGAGTCATCAACCTCAAAAGGGTCATCCTCTTCATCAACAATAAAATCAGTCCTCTTCACAGGCAAACCTTCCTAGTTGGACAAAGATAGATGTCATCATGTGCTTGATATACACATATAATAGAGGTTGAAATTCAATATCTTGCACTGACCATTTGAAGCACTTTCCCCTTCTTAGGCTTTTCCAAAAGAATCCCAAGCATGTACTGTACAAGGAATTCATCATATAAATTAAAGATAATTTCATCTAAAAAGAAAGAAAGAAAAGGAAATTAAGTCATCTTAGCAACTGTACAGTATTCAATCAGAAATGAAAGCATCTCTCAAGAATCCATAAAGACTCCAGTAGAGCAATTTTCAGCAAATCCAAGCACAAATTTCAAGACATCAAATGTTTAATTCTTTTGGCAAGCTTTATTCTTCTTGTAGAATTTACAGCAAATGCAAGCACAAATTTTATGATATCAAGTGTTTAACTCTTTAGACAAGCTTTTTCCTCTTCCAGAATTCACCTATTTTGAATTACTAGAAAGTTTCTTAAGGGCGTAAATCAATTTCAAAGCCTAAGAAACTTAAAAACACCATCTCATTTTAATAGAGTGATAAAATAGAAAGTGAGAAACACAAGCTAGGATTTTTTAGTTTGATACTTAGAAGATATAATCCAATACAAGGACAAGCTTCCACTGATAGAATGCTAACCAGCAGAATTATCTTCACACTTTCCTTTTTAAATAATTCCAAATATATCCTCACAATTCCAATAAGTTTTTTTACTCTTCTCTCCATCACATTAATCCTTTTTCACTCCACTCTAATACTTCCACTTACTTTTTTCACTTTATTTACTTTCACAAATTTTGCAGCTCTATTCATGTTAAACAAGTCTGGGCCGCACCCGCTACAGTCCACTTTATAAGTCCAAGGTGGAAACTATGTGGCAATGAAGAGAGTAGCCCCTTAGCCTTATAGAGTAGACACAATTATCTTGTTTCAATGTGGAATACACATCCCAACACTTTTACACACTTTCAATGTGGAAACACTTCCACCCATATATTCATGGGCTCAAAACTCCCCCTTACATATGAGTTGTCCATAATGGCTAGATACCAACCCAACCCTACCTGAGCTCTGATACTATGTTAAACGGGTGTGGTCCACAACCACCACTATGTGTCCACTTTATAAGTCTAATAGATATCCACCTCAAAGCCTTATGACAACGAGAGGAGTAATTCCTTAGCCTTATAAAATGGACACAGTTTTCTTCTTTCTTAAAAATGGGATACACCATACACGTCTCTAACACTTTCACACTCTTTCAATGTAGGATAACACTTCCACTCAAATGTGGGTTTGTTCATTGGCTCAACAATTCATTTAAACAAATTTTGTTTAGAATAATAACTACTCCTAAAATCCTAACCTCCCTATTTACTTGAAGAAATATTGGAGACAAACATGATTAACCCATCTCCACAGATTTGGCAATTCTTCCCATATATGGTCTAGAAGTGACAAGGCTCCTAGAATTGCATAATTTTCCCTTGGTTTAGAAAATCCCCACTAAAACAATAGTCATTTTCAAAGATTATCAAGTCTTACTTTCTATCCATAAGTATTACACAACAAAAGCTACTCAAATTTATCAAATTAGATGCCATAATTGGGTCTCGTTTAGAAATCAACCTGCCTGGAACCAATTAGATTTGCAGATTAAAAGACATCTTATTGAGGAGATAAGCTCTAGATTACAAAGTTGTTATCCCCTCTCAATGAAATTCCCAGCCTCAATATGCCAAAACCAACTTCATAATGACTAAAAACCCTGAATTGCCAAGCTCAAACTAGTCCACAAGCAAGAAACATCACAAGTAATTTTTCTTGATTTAAAGAACTTCGAAATTCAAATAAAGCAACTCTATTTAACCTGGTTTCCCAAATTACTTGTCCTTGGACGAGAGCTTATACAAAATTCTTTTATCACACTCCCTTCTTCAACAATCCTAATATGTGCAATAAGGCTTTTGATCATTATGACAATGGTTAATTAAATAAGCCACCTCAAAAAAAAAAAAATCTAAAGCACTATGTTTATAGGTAAAATCAACTGTTAACAGCCATTACATTTACTCATCTAGAGCACATATAACCAACACAGCTCACATTTCGCTCACCGCCATGTTGACCTACATATAATTGGCTCCTTTCATCAACTAAAAGTCCTCAAAAATCAAGGTACTCTAATAAATACTGATTTACGTTGACTAATTGGAATACTTCAATTACTGGTGACCACACTACATAATATATCTAATTACAGAAACTTTTAAAAGACAATCGCCCAATCTAATGGCACAAGTTATATGCACAAATCCAAAGTCGCTTGATATTGAACATGCAAGCAACTCAACATATACTAATGTAAGATTCAGATGAAGTATACCTCATTGTTCAATAAGGTCTTATCACGTTCAGCGGCAAATCTAATTAGTGAAATATGATTCATACAGTCATCTTCTGAAGGGGCAACCTCATACGTGCTGCAATACATGACAATAAATATTATTTCTTGGTACATGATAATGAACACAATGGATATAATGAATACATGTTGCAAAAAGAAAATTGTAAAACCAAAGAAATTCCACAAACCTGAACACTTTTGACAAGTGGCACCATATAGAGTTTTCAGTAGCCTCTACATTATGTTTAACATAATGAAGGCAATGGATCGTGATTAGTAGTGACCTAATTGTAGGCTCAAACAGCTTTTTTGGCTTCAGAAGTTTTACCCAAAAGTCACCCTTGCAAAAAACTGAAATCTCAGGCTGTACATAGGAAAGCTCATATCTCCACGCTACAACTTGTTTAAAAACCTTTCTGAGGCCATCATCAGAAACACCAGTAAAGAACAGCTGGAGATTCACAGTATCAACAGGCTTTTCCTTGGGCCAAAGAAGGGGCAAAAATGCAAATGAAACAAGTTTATTTTCCTGATTTATGAATTGATAATCAGTCACGCTCTCTGGGAATATCTCACCCTCTTCATCTGAAGATGCCATCAAGTAATCCAAAAATGACCGACAAGTCAAAATATATATAAGCTCCACCGTCTACTTCAAACAGGCCCGTCCCTGCGCCAAATTTGATTTCATAGTTAAATCAACAAGTCCTAACATTTAGCCCTTTTTGGTTGAAGGGAATTGGATGGAAAAGAAATGAATGTTTGGTTGAATTAATAACATGAGAATTCAAGAGAAAGGAAGGGAAGTGGGAGGAAAGTTTCATTATAAAAATTGAACTTTCCTTTCCTCCCAAAATTGGAGGAATTCGACTAGAAAGAGAAAAATAAAAGTTATCCTTTATAAAAAAAAAATTCTCTTCCCTTTATTTCCTCTCATTAAACAAATATTGGAAAATAAAAACATCTTCCTTTCCTTTCTTTTCCTTTCTCTTCTTTTCCTTTACTAACATTGAACCAAACAAACCCTTAAGGGTCCTGCAATACATAGCAACCAAATTTGATTCAATTACCAAATAAGGCTCATACTTTTAGGGATATTTGATTCAATTATCAATTAGGCTCATAATTTTCTTTTCTAACAACATAACCGCTGGTTAAAATCTTTCATAATCTTAGTAATTAGAACCAATAGTTCAGATTATCGAACCCTAAACTTACTACTCTGACAATTATATCAGATAAATAAAATTAGATCAAAGATAAGCCCTAGATTGTAAATTATAAGAGGAAACAGGAACGAAAAATCCTTGAGCATGTAAACTATTCAAATTTCATAACGGTAATAAGGCGAAATTGATCATAACACTTACAAAAATGCAAAAATATAACAGAGCATTGCAGCAACAAAAACAAAGCAAAATCATACAATATGCAACAATCAAAAATGGCGAAAGAACACATAGATGGAATTCCTTGAAACACATTGCACATAATCAACAAAAAAATAGGAAGCAGATGAAAATGCAGGAAGTTACGAAGCACTAAAAAGAAGAAAAATAACTATGGAAGATCAAAACCAATAATAGAAATTTAGAAAATTATAATAATCGTAAGAAGTAAAATAGGGAAGAGATTCAACCTGAAGTTGAAAAATTGCAGAAAATTTGCAGCAGAAACCCTAGAAGAGAGAGTGAAGAAGCAGTGATGAATTCTGGAAAAATGAAATTGAACGTGGAAGGAGTGGGAAGTTTTAGCAGGCTTTTGGCGTCATTTTTCAGTGGCGTTGTAGTATGCAGTATAGAGTATAGACGTATAGTACGTACTACTTTTATTTTTTTAATTATAAACCCGTTTTTGTCCCTGAGGTTTTGGCATTTGCTCATTTTACAGCGCGTATAAAATGGGACGTTTTAGGAAACTAAGCTTCCCGAAAAAAATAATTACAAATTTGGTTGCGTGGCAAAAGTATTTACAAAAATAAGCTTCTGAGGTAAACCGCTGCCTCGGGCAGCGTTTTACCCTCTATTTTTTTAAAAAAAAAAAATCTGCTACAAAAACGCTGCCCCAGGCAGCGTTTTTATAGTTTGACTTTTTTTTTTTCCTCGTTTATTATTTTTTAAAATTAATTAAAAAAAAGGCAACAGCATAAAACGCTGCCCCAGGCAGCGTCTTATCTTGTTAATGAAACGCTGCCCCAGGCAGCGTTTCTGTCTGGTTGTAAAACCAGAAACTCGAGCTTCGTTTTCAATCACGTTTGCTCTTCATTCCTTCGCCTCCTTCGCAATCCTCTTCCTTCCCTTCCCAAATTTCCTCTTCAATCCTCTTCAACCCAATTTCGTATTACATCCAATTCAAGGTATGGTTAAATATTAGTTGAGTATTTACAAATTGTTCGTTATGTTTGTTGAATTCTTGAATTGTTGGTTAGTGTTGTTGAATTATTGAATTGTTGGATATTGTTGTTGAATTGTTGGTTAGTGTTGTTGAATTCATGAATTGTTGGTTAGTGTTGTTGAATTGTTGGTTAGTGTTGTTGAATTATTGGTTATTGTTGAATTTCTTGAATTGATGAATTTCTAGGGTTTATGTTGAATTTTGGGGGTTTTTGTTGAATTTAGGGGTTTAGGGTTGAGTTGATGAATTGTGATTGTTAAATATTAATTTGGATAATGTAGAATTGTTGGTGTTGAAATATTGAAGATGTTAAGTATTTGAATTTCAGGGCCATCGACCGAGCGCTTGTGACTGCGCTCGCGGAGAGGTGGAGACAAGAGACCCACTCCTTCCACCTTCCTGTAGGGGAGGCGACTGTGACCCTGCGTGACGTCGCGATACTTACGCGGCTTCCTATACACGGGACTCCAGTGACAGGACGCCCGTTAGTCGATCCTGTAGGACTTGTAGTTCGAGTTCTTGGGGTTCAGCCTGCTCCCGAAGATATCCGGGGAACTGGGTTGAGGATAGGTTGGCTACGAGAGACCTTTGGCGAGCTTCATCACGGTGCTGATGACGCCGCCGTTCAGAGACACGCCCGAGCTTACTTGTTCTTCTTGGTCGCTGGTGTGTTGTTCGGCAACAAGAGCGGCAGCCACCTCCAGCTCCTACACCTGCAGTTGTTAGACAACGACTGCGACCATATCCGTTCCCCCGCCGCCTCTAGACCCATTCACCTGACCTAGATCAATTGCCCCGGATAGATGAATCGGGATAGTGTTAGCTTAGTTATTTCATGTAGTAAAATTTTTGTATAGATTAGGTATATAACATTTACATTTCTAATATAATAAATGTTTTTCGGTCAACATTTGTGTGTTATGTTCTTTGTTTCCCAATATGTTTTGATTTATGTATATATTGACTTGTCAACGGTGGTGGTGGAAGGTAGTGGTGTGAGGTGGAAGGTTGTTGGAGGTGGTGGTGGTGGAAGGTTGTTGGAGGTGGTGGTGGACGGTTGTTGGAAGGTGGTTGTGGTGGTGGGAGGTCGGGGTGGAAGGTGGTGGACGGCGGTGGAGGAAGGTGGTGGAAGGCGGTGGAAGCCGGTGGAAGGCGGTGGTGGTGGAAGGTGGAAGGTGGTGGAGGTGATGGTTGGAGGTGGTGGAGGGCGGTGGTGGAAAGGGGTTGAAGGTGGTGGAAGGTGGTGGTGGTGGTGGAAGGCGGTGGTGGTGGAGGGCGGTAGTGGAAAGGGGTTGGAGGTGGTGGAAGGAGGTTGGGGGTGGTGTTGGAAGGATGTTGAGGGTTGGGGCAAGAAACTGGTTTGGTGCTGCCAACCAGGTAAAACGCTGCCTGGGGCAGCGTTTTACCTGTAAACATATACAGATAAAACGCTGCCCCAGGCAGCGTCTTATGTTTAAGCATAAGACGCTGCCTGGGGCAGCGTTTTATGCTGTTGCCTTTTTTTTTAATTAATTTTAAAAAAAATAAACGAGGAAAAAAAAAAAAGTCAAACTATAAAAACGCTGCCTGGGGCAGCGTTTTTGTAGCATATTTTTTTTTTTTTTTTAAAAATAGAGGGTAAAACGCTGCCCGAGGCAGCGGTTTACCCCATAAGCTTATTTTTGTAAATACTTTTGCCACGCAACCAAATTTGTAATTATTTTCTTCGGGAAGCTTAGTTTCCTAAAACGTCCTATAAAATGAGTACAGATACGAAAAGGGTACGTAATATATTAGTAAAAAAAAAAAATTTATTGTAATTCAATTTTTTTTTTTAAAAAAATTCTTTGAAAAACTAATTTAAATAAGAAAATTGAAAATAAAGTCTGTCAACAAATTAAATAAAATTATAAAATATTTTTATATTATACGATGTATTAAAACACCTAGTACCCATAAAGTAAAAGTGCATGTCAAATGTTCAGTATGGCTACAATTGTCAATTGAATTCCGAGCAAAACCAAGTTAATATCCTATATTATATTAACAAAAACTTGTTTATATCACCAAAGCATCGTTTAAGTCTAATATTGAAAATTATTTCATACAATGCCCACATAAGCACCATAGTTTGTTGTTCTACAATTATGAACGGTGAGCTTGTATAAAAATGGCCCACATAAACACCATAGTCTGTTGCTCTATTACCCTCTGTATAAATGCGGCGTGAATCAACAAATGTGAAATTTCGAAGCAGCCTTTTGACATCTTCCATTAAACACCTTTTAAATATTATGGGCCTGTGCTAGAATAAAATCATTATGAAGAGTCGTAGCTTTTGTAATAAGCGGAGTACTCATACCAATATATAAAAAGCGACTAACATTATTTTCTAAACGATCTCTTAAAACAATATCAATAAGCCCTTGAACCATTCCGGACATAGCATAAATATTAATTTTAATAACACCAAGGAAAGGGGGCAATCAAGAGACAAGAGAAAATGGACCTCCTAGACGGGGCTCCACATGCGGCCTCCGTAATTGATGGTGGTGGTTGCTCCGATTGGTGGTGTTGGCTAACAGTAGTGGTCGTGGTGGTTTTTGTGATGGTGGTATAAAGTAGGAGAGAGAAAGTGTAGGGGTGGGGGTGAAGTGGGAGAGAGATGTGATAAGGGTGTAATAGTCCGTTCGCACCAAAATGTGGACGATTTTGATTAATTTACGGGTGGCTTTTAGTGATTCACTTTTGTTGTTTTTTTTCATCAATAACACAACCCAACTATAATTCAATAAACCCCTGCATTTTGCCAGCTTCCTTCAACCATCATCCAAACCCAGAAAAACCCCACCATTTCATCACTCTGCAAAAACCTCATCATCTTCTTCCCCAAAATCCCTCAAAAACCCCACAATTTCATCACTCACGAAATCACAATCAATTACAATTCTTGATTAATGCAAAAACCACATTTCAATGTCAAAACCAACCCCTCAAACCAATGATCTCTCAAACATAGACCTAAGTCCAGAAGATTTCAATTCATCCCTCCCCATTAAGAAAGTCCCATATGGAGACGTATTTGAGGCGGCTCGAGCCGGAGACGTCGACCGCCTTCGATATCTCCTCGAATCTGGTGTAAATGTCAATGCCAGGGATCAGTGGGATTCAGTGGCACTTTACTATGCTTGCTTAGCTGGTCATCTTGAAGCTGCTCGTATGCTTCTTGAAAATGGCGCCATTTGTGATGAGCATACTTTTGATGGTGATCGTTGTCACTATGCTGCCCTTAACTTGAAGGTTAGGAAGCTTCTTAAGGCGTTCGAGGCTCGCCCGCCTCCCCTTGGACCGCTTCAGGCCGCTTTGAGGGAGACTTTTCTTGGGTGTACCGCAAACCGGGATATTTTGGAACTGTCTGATAGTCAGCTTCAGTTTTCTGGTCAGTTTTTGTTTATCTGCTTTTGAATTGTGATTTTTTAAAGGTTTTTGCTTGATGCTTTTAGATATCTTTTTGATGTATTTATCAATGTTATGCCTTTTTTTGAGAATTGTAGTACATGATTTCAATAAAATGTTATATGATAAAAATTTAGTTGCTGGTTGGTTTATGAAAAAGCATGGTATGTTATTGTGTCAAATGAGGACAATAACTTTAATTGACCCAAAACGGATGGTTATTTGCTTACGTATACGATTGTACATGATTGGGTGCTAAATTGTTGGTACTTTGGCAGTGAAAAGCTAGTTTCGTGGTGATACAATGCTTATCATTTTCATATGTTTGCCCTTCTGATCAATAATTAAAAGGTGATGGTACCTAGTTGATGGAGCAAAATAATGGGCTGATCGGTTCACTAGTGTATACATATGAACGTATTGCAAATACAGTATGTGAAAACTTTTTGTAATGGAATTATTTGACCATGAACTATGAAGGCTCAGCATAGCCAAACTCAGAATATGATTGTGAACTTCAGTTCATGATGCTTCATTCATGGAATTTCGCTGAATTAACTAGTTCCAGTCTTTTATTCTTAGAAGTAATATTAGTTATTTTCTTATGTGGTACATCTGTACTAGGAAATAGCTGATTTCCTTTGAATTGAATTGACAAATTCATTGATGTATCTTATAAGCTAGTAATCACACGGTTCCATAATTATGTTGGAGAGGTGATCAAAAGACTTGAGGATGGGAAAGGTGATATTTGTGTTGTAATATGAGTAATTAAGGCCAGGAATTGTTCTGTTTGTATAAATTTTTTCTGTTGGTAATTAAATTATACTTCGAGGAGTCAAACCTGGTTCCTAGTTTCAAAAATTGTACTCTATATCACTTAATGATATCAGCACAGTGAAGTTGTTACAATTCAGGAGCTGTACATATAAGATAATAAGGTATAACTTTTGTAAGTGCAAAAAAATATATGTCAAAATTTCTTTGGTGATAAACTTAAAATGGCTTATTGCCACTTTTAAAGGTGAATGCCTTCTTTGGAATTAACCAGACATTGGAACTAATGATTTCAATAATTATATTGTTGTGGAAGATGCACTTGTACACACATAAAACCAAGACTAAATTTCTTTTTTTTTTTTCTTTATTGTTGTGGAAGAAATATGTTTCTGAACAAAGAGATAAATAATATAAAAATTTTAAAAAAGAAAGAGAAAAAAGAATGAGCAGTATTCAAATTTTTTTGTTCTCCTTGATGGTCATGAATTGAAATACCACTTTCCTCCCCCATTGCATCCTTGCTATTTGAATGCTTCTGGAGGTTTTCTGTCATTATTTTTTCATGACTTTTGTATGCCGTCTAATCTTTACTTCGAGAATTAGGGTATTTGTTGGTTTTCCTGGTTTTTGAAATTCTGTTTGTCTTTTGCTCTGCAGGCTCCTCGATGCTGGATGGACCCAATTACAATCACTTTCCTCCCGATATTGTATTTTATGTGCATGGTAGGCCCATAGAAGCTCACAGAGTAATTTTAAGTGCCCGGTCACCATACTTTAAAAAAAAATTTGAGACTGTTTGGAAGGATCGAAGAGAAGTACGATTCTCAAAGGAAAAACTATCTTACCCTGCTCTCTACAGCCTTCTCCACTTCTTTTATTCTGACCGGCTGGAGGTCGCAGTAGATGACATGGAAGACTTAGTCAGAATTTGCAGTGTGTGTCATTGTGAAGCATTACGGAGAGTGGTTGAGAAAGAACTAAATCACCAAAGATTCACAGACTTCAAGGCTTTGCGAGAAGTAGACAGTTCTCAGAGACGTTTTATATTGCAGGGTTTGTCCCTTCCCGAGGAAGACCGTCTTCCTGCTGCTTTACATCATATTCTTCTACTCTCCTTGACCAATTCCTCTATGGAACAGGATTTTGGTAATGTTGCTGATAGCTTAGTAACTTCTGTTGGTAGATTACAAATCCATGAACATGAAGATGATCTTGCTGATATAACCGTTCGAGTTGATGGACGGGTTTTCCGTTGCCATCAGGTCATTCTGGCTTCCAGATCAGAGTATTTCAAAACAAGAATATCCAGGATGGCTGATTTCCTGGAGGTCAATGATGACTTGCTTAGTCATGCCCTTCCCTGTCTTGAAGAGCATGATCTAAGCCATGAGGCATTTGAGAAAATGATAGAATATATGTATGTGCTTTTTCTCCCATTTCTGCATTTTGCTGCATGTATACTTTGTTTAGTACTAATTGTGATGAATAGCTTATTAGCTACCTAACTTATTGCAGGTTACTGAAGACTGTTACTTATTTCTTAGTACATACTACATATCACATGGTTGATTATGGTATACTATTCATGTACTGCTAGTAATTATTTTAGTGGGATTCGTATGCTGCTACTTTAGAGTTCCTGGATCCTTCCCTAAATTAGTATTGTTGCATTTGACGTTATTCTACACAAGCATGGCCTGGTTTGGCGAGTCCTGTTATGCACATTTCTTATCCTCTTTGGCATATGCTGACTTTGTACTCATCTCCTTGGTTCAAGGTACACTGATGGTTTAAAAAATGTGGAACCTCGACAGGTAAGATGCTTAAATTTGAAACTGTTGTGTGTGTAGAATTATTTTCCTTTTCTGTAATTCTTGACATTTCATCCTATCAGGCTGAGGAATTATTTGATGCTGCTTCAAGATATCTGTTATTTCCCCTAAAGCGTGCTGTAGCTGATGCACTACTCCCACACCTAGAAATGGCCTCACCTTCGGAATTATGCCATTGGCTGCTTTTAGCAGATATGTATGTCCATTGTTAAAGTATCTCGTATTCTCATCTTCACTAAGTACACCAGATGCATCATATCAAGTTTCATGCCTTGTTCCTTTGTCTGCCTGCATGTTTTTTATTTTTTATTTTTAGAATAAAGTATCGCAACATGAATTATTGATGTGATTTGCATAGGGGATACTCATGGGTTGCTAGAGATATAGTTATGGCATCCAGTTCTGATACTAGGTTGAACATTCATGCTAGACAGTTGATGTCATGTGTGCCTAATGTATCCTGGACATGGATACACTAAGCACACACAAGTATGTGTTTGATATGTTGATAAATAAAAAATTGATCTTTTTTGACAGGTTTGAAGGCGTGTTGATTATTCTTATATTTATTCCCCATAAAAACACATGGCATTTCCAAAGAAAAAACCAATTTATTATGCTTTATCACATGGCCAAGGCTGCCTATCATAGTGTCTAGTTATTGTGATTTGCAGATTGAAAAAAACACATATAATACTATAGACTACTGTTGGTAGTTGGTAGTAAGGTCATTTTGGGTTAATTAGGGTCTATTCTAATCAACTTATTATGTCTGAAGTATTTTACTTTTAGCTAACTTATTCGAACTTATCTTGTCTGAAATATACTTCAAAAGAATTCGAACAGAGTAGGGCCTTAGGCTCATCGCAGGCAGTTTCAAATCTTTTACTTTTGGTTAAACTATCTTCATTTTTAACCGTACCAGAAAATAAGGATGTCTTTGTTGTATTAATATAATTCTTATCATAATTATTTATTGGATCTGGTCTCAGGCCCCTCCCACAAAACTTACTCTTTATTACTTGAAAGTACACTATTTGATTTGAGTTAAAATTATATTAAAATTGGTATAGTGTGTTTTCTTGTCGTACACACATCAGCGTGCATTATGTATCCATGTTATTTAGTTGAGATGTCTTGGTGTGTACTGCTACATGTACTGATTTAAGTGATTCAATTTTTTGTTGTTCTGATTCTTACTAAGTACGACAACCATGTAATCATAGTATGGGGGGTGGGGGGGTGGGTACTACTGTATTTTTGGGATGAGAAAGAATCTTATTTATGTCTTTCTGGGTCTTCAGTAGTAAATACTTGTTAGATGTATCAGACATGGATACCTTTTTATGTTCCCTTTGAGAACTTGTGTAGTATTATAAATGAAGAAAAATTCTCATAATTGGCTGTGGACATAATATGAAATTTCAGTTATTCCTTGTAACAACCTGCCACATATTTGTATATGTTGTGTTATTTAATTCTAGGTTCACCTTGTATGTTTATCACAGATGAAGCTTGAATGTGGGTTGCATGAAAGTTACTTTCATGATCTTGAATATCCATGTTTCTTTTTGTAACAAATCACAGCTAGGATGTCCTTGCGTCATCTATTGGTCACTGCAATGTCTTTTCCTTATTTCTTTTGGTCCTTCCTCATCTTCCCTTTATTTGGGAAGGACATGCCTAGGCCTGGATCTGGGTTCGGGTTATATCTTTGTCTGAGTTTGGTGGGTTTTAGAGCTAGGATTTCACTTTTCACTTTGTATTACTCTTTTTTCTGGTTTCTGTTGTAATTTAAAGGGTGATTAGGTTGGAGCTTCTTTACTAAGTTCTGCCTAATAAAAAGTTACCAAGAAAGAAAATCCTGGACCTATTTTATTAAACTAGCAGCTCAGTATCAATCTTGCTAACTTGGCTGGCTGCCTGCCTATACAGGTATGGTGTCCTGAAGATTAGGGAATACTGTCTGGATGCAATGGCATGTAACTTTGAGACATTTGCTGATACACGAGAATTCCAAGCCATGCTTTTGACTCTTCCTCCACCATCAGGAGACTCTTCCCTCCGAACCACTGCTCCTAGTGCCCCAGGAGCAGGAGGACACAGTGACCAGGGTAATATTCTTGATGATTTGCGAGAGAAGTGGCTTGAGATTGAAGCTGCCGAGCTGGATGAGAGAGATGAGAGTGCCTTGCTTTTTGACAAGCGACTTGATATGCTGATGCAAACTGCCGAACAAGAACAAGATATGTCTGATTCCATCGACTAGACTACAGATTGCTCAACGATGATGGTATAATAGAGAAGTTTGTTATAACATTTCTTAACAAACAATTGGCCAATTGTGAATACATAAATTGTTATCATAGTTAGAGAAATCCCATCTGAGTGATTTTAAGGTGCACTCATAAGGCCGAAAGTTGCAGTGTCAGTAAGTAGTTATACTATGGCCAAAGTTAGACTTAGCGACTTGTGCTTGTATACTCTCGTCATTCTTTTTACCACGATACATGAAATGGAAAATCTTAAATTTATGCCATTGCTTTTGATGACCAGACCTGTATACACTCATGATCTCATGATCTCCCTCATTCTTCCGTTCTCTTATCTAAGGGATCTCCAATTTGTTCTGAAAATCTGTTTTTTTTAACATACAGAATATGGATAACGAAGTTTGAAATTTTCATAGCTGTATATTAATTATTACCTCAATTCCTTTTTGTTTGAACCATAAGATTTTTTACCTTGAGAATTCATTGATACATATATCAGAAATAGTGTATTTGTTTGGTATTGTCAACTTTTTGTAGTATGGAGTACCTTGTTGAAGATAATAAAACCCAAATATGTGCATCAATAAGTGTGCAAGAAGTTAAATGGGACAAATAAAAAGAAATGAAAAGAGTAAAATTTTTTTTTGGTGTAAGGGAGTAATAATTTTAAGTCTCCATAAATACATTTATAAAGTTTTTTTTTTGATAATATTATGGAGTAATATACTACCTTTGTTCTTTTAACTTCTACTCACTTATTATAGATACGCAATTTAAGAAATTATTGAAGAATGTGAAAGTAAGGGGGGGAATGTAAAAAGGTGAGTTTATGTAAGAAAAAGGTGGATAAAGTAAGAAAGTGGAAAAATGTACAATTATTATGACATTTGAAGGGTAAGATGGTAAAAGGGGTATAATAGTATAAAATAAAGTGAGTAGAGCTCACAAGAATGCGTAGAATGGAAAGCGGGTAGAACAAAAAAAAAACAATGAATGAGAGTACATCATCATCATACTTCTCCGACTTTTAAAGTTTTTAAAGTTTGACTACAAAAATCTAAGTGAAAGATAAAAAAATATCACATGAAATGTTTTCCTAGTATAAACTTTATGCATATAATTAATACAATAATTATAGCCACAATGTATATTTTTATCTAATCCGAAAAGCTTTCAAGTTTACATGAGCAAATACTACTTTTCTATTGTTTACAAGCATTGTGAAAAACAAGTTTGTATTTTTCCTATATCCAAAACAAAATTTGATTTTCTTTTTCTTTTCTTTTTTTTTTTTCTGATACTTTTCCTTTTCTATAATTTGTTTAGTTTTATATTTTGCGTTCAATTAAGCCTAGAAAAGAACAAAATCGAGGTAGACACAAAAAATATTTGCTGGACTAACATCATCTCTCCTTTGGCTGGTCCACTACTGATTGGGATGCCTCGGTTGAACCTTCAACAGCAGATGGGGAAGCCTGAGCAGGATAGGTTGAATCTTCAACAGCAGTTGGGGAAGCCTCAGCAGGGTCGGTTGAATCTTCAACAGCAGATGGGGAAGCCTCAGCAAGGTCAGCCGAATCATCAACAGCGGTAGGGGAAGCATCCTCAGGGTCAATTGAATCTTCAGCAGCGGTAGGGGAAGCATCTTCAGGGTCATTTAAATCTTCAGCAGCTGTAGGGGAAGCATCTTCAGTTTCTTCAAGAACAGCCAGCTGCCCTGGTTTTTTCTGAAGGCTCCAGTACATGATGCTTGCTGTTAAGGTGAGTATCATCTTCTGGTTTACCTGTCAAAGGAATGTATTGTATAGTAAGATAAAATCTGAATCTGAAGCTACGAATTTATGTTACTTCTGGCTACCTAATGACAGACCAAAATGAGGGAAATGAGGATTGAAGCATACAATTCCAGCATTCGCACGAAAAGAAAAAAAAAAATCTAAACAGGATGAATATTTTTGAGTAAAACAAAAAAGAACATTTCCGAGTTTCTGATAGAATCAACTAAAAACAAAGAAACTGAAATGGACTGGCTATATTGACCAGAGTACTCCACCCAAACACAGTTTGTCGAAAATCACTATGATCCCGAAATTTAGCCTAAATCAATATTGACATGATCTGAAAAGTAAAATGGTGGAGATTGATTGAATTCCCTATCTAAAATAATTGACAATAAATATGATTGTGACCCAAATTGAACTTGATTTGGATGGCCTGCTCGTCACCATTAAACAAAACTACAATCATAAGGTTGAATTGATGAGAAGGAACAAAAGTTAGTGCCAAGTTAATGGACTCCAGCTCTCACCTCAACGATATCCTCCGGCAACAAAAATATAGAACATCCAAGCTTTCTGGCAACACTGATTATGTAAGAAGCATTCAGCTTCTTATCCTCATCTGCAGTCAAAGACAATTTTTTCAAGAGCATTATATTTCGTAACTCTTTCAAAGACAAAAAAACTATGCATGGAATCATATTTTAAAGATTAGCATTGAACATCAGTGCACCCAGAGACAAAGTACCATTTTCGCCTTTGGTTACAACTGTCCAATCAACCACTCTTGGCTCCACTGCACTAAGAAGTTCCAGGAAAAATATCCCACTAGATAGACTTTTATCCTGAATAAAAAATCAGATTCGAGTGTAAAAGATCAATTCATCTTAGTTGTATGTTATTCAACTAATTAGTTTGGTTCCCAAGAAAATAATATATGAAGTATAAACTTGTAACCAAAATCCATGATAGCATACGTACTTTGAAGCTATCTATCTGAGAAGATTTCCCTGAACTCTTAACCTTTTTGTTTGCCCATTCAAGAATGTGTGCATCTGTAATCTCTCTCCCTTGTGAAAAAGATCTCAAATTTTTCAGTAGTTGGAGCATTGTAAACCTCATCAACTGCCAGAGAAAAGCTGAGATATACAACATTTGAAATAGGTTAGTTTGCTAGGTTTCGAAGATCCAAACTAATGCATTATGATGTAGTGTGTCAATTTGTGGTTATCAAGCTTAGAAATATGCAATAAAATCTCACACAACCACTTGGCTTCATTAAAGAGCCAAGGAAACAGTATTTTTTTGTTAGTCAATCAACAGGAAAAAGAGAAATTATGGGTTATGAACAGTTTGACATGAGTTCTGTCATACACGCACACCATCTTTGCAATTATAAAATGGTTCCTTAATCTCAAATCAAAGTACTCCAATTATAGACATCTATATATTTCTACAGAATATTAAGGGTATAAATCTACAAGTCATAGTCAGAAAGATATATAGAGAGAACCAGAAAGTACTCCAATTATAAACATCTATATCTTTCTAGAAAAAGTTCATGCTTTTCTCATGATGCAGCATACAAGAGAGAATCTTTTAAGGAATGGTATAATAATTGCTTCGAAACAAATTTACTGTCCAAAACAGAGAGAAACAGACTACAATTAAATCAATAGATCAAGGTTAAAAGATAGCAGGATACGAAATAGCATCATAATATACAATGCACCAGTAAAATGAGCAAAAACAGAGCATTGCCCCCCTCCCCCCACAAAAAGGGAGAGTAGGCCTTTGGTTTTCTACAAGTTGAATTAGCTCAGAACAAACTTTTAAAGCAACTGTAAATTCACTCTCTTCACTTCACTTAGATGAGAAAAAGAGGTTCCACTTTAATACCACAATTTTAAGTATCAGTGCAGAGCTTCTAATCAGCGATATCTTTTCATTCACTGGAAAGCCACAAGAACTGGTGGGTAAGGCCTCTACTAGAGACAACATAACGTACTATCAGTTTTAGAAAGTAAACAAAAAGTTAGAAAGTACTCCAAGTCTCCATCTCCAAAAACTCAAAACAAAAATAAGAAAATAAGAAAAAAAAAATATTGAATCCAAAAGCCTATACCAAAGCCATCAAGACAGTATTCCATATGATCAACAAGATACATGCTGAAGCGTTAAAGTTGACAGTATGGCTGCAACCATCTCCAAAAACTAATATTCTAATCAAAAGGATATGGAGAAAATGGTAAATGCAAGCTAACCTATAATGAGCTTTTTATTTCCTTGTACAATATCATTTCCAGCAACGTTAACTAGGGAGAAGTTCAATCTTTTTCCAATATCAATAACTTGATTGCAATTTTCAACTTTCTTGAAAGGCATCTTGATAGGAGGTTTATTAGCATGTCTCCAGTTAACTGATCCTGGGAAAACTTTATCCAACACTTCCAAAAGCACCCATCTGCAGAGGAGGATAAAATATCAGCCTAGCCGAATTTCATCTGGATTTTATATATGACAGCACAAGACAAGAAGCTTACCCTTGTCTAACATCCTCAAACAAATTATTGACATATGATGAAACTCCAAGACTATTAATCCAGAGTCGAAAGCATCTCTCTTCCCTCGAAGTTTCCAAGTCATCATCTAAAACATTAGTGAGGGAGATCTTCTCTGTATCAACCTCAGCAGTCAGACCATTTCTGCAAAGCCAAGTCACAACCTCTTAACAAGCATTCAACAATTGCATTTGCAAAACTGAGTCATGGCACAGAGTAATGAAAGCAGATCAGAGAGAGAGAGAGAGAGAGAAGAAATTGAAAAGATCCTTGCATCCAATTTTCCATGTTCTAAATGTAAGACGTGCAATGATGATGAGTGTCAAAATGCTCTTAGGTATATATGATAAGGCTTTCTTTTTCCAAATGCAAACGAAAATTTAACACCAACTCTCTCCTCTCCTCCTTTGAATCACCAAAACGAAAGTAATAACACTTGTCAAATGATAATAAAAAAAGAATATGCCATTAAACTAAACCTGATGATATACCAGTTCAACTTCCATTTGGCACATCAACTATGAAAACCATGTCAAAGCCATGATATACTTCACTATGGTTTTTGAGTAAACAAAAACATTTTCACAAAGAAAACATCGACTTCAGTGTTCAGTCTCCAAGAATAAAAAATTTAGGGAAACCAGGTTACATTAAGAGACAACAAAGTAGCTTATATGTAGTGATGAACATCAGTGGCGGATCCAGGACTTCTAACTAGGGGTAGCGTTGAGCCATTAAATAATAAGAGAAAAAAGGGTTAGAATGAGTTATTATATATAGCCTTAATATTTTAAACATTTATTTTGGTATATAAATTTTTATTTTACAAATATGAAATAATTTATATTCTAGTTAACAATATAATACAATGATCAAATTTTAAAGTACTCTATATGTTCAAAAAATTACCTTTCTATGTAATCTGTA